TCCGTTGCCGGACACGGAAAAAAAAAAAAAAAAAAAAAAAAAAAAAAAAAAAAAAGCTGGAGTCTACACAACTTTAAGAGGAGTTGGAATCCTCCTCTAAAGGAGGATTGGCATCAAAAACATTGCTACAGTAAAAGCAACAGCAATAGAAAATTCTACAAATTATTTATAATCTACTTCTAACATTTTGTGAAAAATAATTTTACTCCCTACTTTTTCTCTCATGTAGATATGGTAAGTACAGCTAAAAAAACTTTCTGTTTTGAGATAACTGTAGATTCATATACCTTTCTCCCAGTTTCCCCAACAGAAACATATTGCAAAACTTCAATATAATATCACAACCAGGAAACTGATGTTGATACAATTCATTAATCTTACTCAGATTTTATCAGTTTTATGTGCACTCATTTGTGTGTGTGTGTGTGTATTTAATTTTAAGCTATTTTATCACACCTGTAGATCTGTATGACACTGCCACGTCAAGATACAGAAGAGTTGCATCACTGGGACCCTTTGTGCTACCCTTTTACAGCCACAGGCACCTCTGCTCCCCCATTCCCCACCCCTGGCAACCATTAACCTGTTCTCCCTTTCTATAATTTTATTATTTCAAGAATGTTATACAAATGGAATCATACAGCATGTAATCCTTTGAGACTGATTTTTTTCACTCAGTGCAATGTTCCTGAGATCAACCCAAGTTGTTGTACGTATCAACAGTTCATTGCTTTTTATTGCTGAGTAGGATTCTATGGTATAGATGTACCATAGTTTAAACATTCACATCCTGAAGGACACTGGGATTTTTTCTAGTTTTTGGCTATTATGAACACTCAGGTACAGGTTTTTGTGTAAATATATGGTAAGTGCATGTTTAGTTTTGTAAGAAACTGCCATACTCTTTTTCCAGAGTGGCTGTACCACTTTACATTCCCCTCAGCAACACATGAGTGATCATCTATCTGCATCCTCACCAGCATTTGGTGGTATCACTATTTTTCATTTTAGCCATTTTGAGAGGTGTGTAGTGACATCTCATTGTAGTTTTTAACTGCATTTCCCTTGTAAATCAAAACCACTTTGAGACATCACCTCACCCCAGTCAGACTGGCTATTATAAAAAAGAGAATAACAAATACTGGTGAGGATGTGGAGAAAGAGGAACTCTTCTGCACTGTTGGTGGGGCTGTAAATTAGTAGACATTATGGAGAACAGTATGGAGGTTCCTCAAACAACTACAGATAGAACTGCCATATGATCCAGTAATCCCACTACTGTGGATATAACCAGAGGATTGGAAATCATCAGGTCAAAGGGATATCTGCACTCCGATGTTTATTGCAGCTCTATTTACAATAGCTAGGTGATGGAACCAACCAAATGTCCACCGACGGATGAGTAGATAAGGAAATTGTGGTATATATACACAATGGAATACTACTCAGCCATAAAAAATAATGCAATTCTGCCATTTGCAGCAACACAGATGAACCTGGAAAAAATTATACTAAGTGAAACAATCCAGGTACAGAAAGAGAAATACCATAATTCTCACTCATAACTGGGAGCTGAATCTATAAATAAATAAACAATAAAGAGAGAGAGAGAGATCTATAAATAAATAAACAATAAAGAGAGAAAGAGGAGAAACAACAATCTTAGATTGTTTTTTAGAAAGAAAAGAAATGCGGTTACTAGAGGTGAAAAGGGGAGGGGAGGGGGAAATGTAGGGGGGCTAACGAGGAATTGGTAAATGGACACAAAGAATGATTGTGTGTTGTAATAATGAATAAGCTAACTATCTTGATCTAACCATCACACATTATATACAACTGTTGAAAATCAATGTTGTACCCCACATGTATGTATAATAAATCATCTTAAAAAAAATTGCATATCCCTAATGGCTAATGATGAACATCTTTTCATGTGCTTATTTGTCATCTGTATATCTTCTCTGGTGACATGTCTTTTCATGACTTTTGCCCATTTTTTAGTTGAACTGTTTTTTTTTTTTTTACTGCTACATTGTCTTTTTTTACTTGAGAGTTATTCATATATTCTAGATACAAAGTCTTTATGTGGTTTGCAAGTATTTTCTACCAAATATTTAATATGAACAGATAATTCACCAAAAATATTTGGATGACAAATAAGCACATGAAAAGATGCTCATCTTTACTTATCACTAGGGAAATGCAAATTATACCCACAATAAGACAGTACCACACACTATTAGAATGGCTAAAATTAAAAAGACACTATAGTGTTGCCAGTTTCTTAGAAAGTTAAAAGACCCTACCATATGATCCATCCATTTCCTTCTAGGTATTTCCCCAAGAGAAAGGAAATACGTGTCCATATATTTGTACACAAATGTTCATAGCAGCTTTATCTGTAACAGCCCCAAACTAACACAACCCAGTGTCCATCAACAGGTGAGTGAACAAACTGTGGTACTATGTATTTATACAGTGGAATACTATATAGCAATAAAAGGAATAAACTCCCAATACATGCAAAAACATGGATGAATCTCAAAATAAGAGAGTGAAAGAGACCAGACAAAAGGTACACATACTCTATGATTCCACTTATGTAAAACTCTAGAAAATACAAACTAATCTGTAATAACAGAAAACAGACCAGTGGTTGCTTGGCGAGGGGGTGGTGGGATGGGAGGGAGGCTTTACAGAGGGCCATGAGCATGCTTTTATAGGTGATGGATATGTTTGTTATCTTGATACGGTAATGGTTTTACGAGCATAAATATATGCCAAAACCTATCAAGTTATACACACTAAATATGTACAGTTTATTGAATGTCAGTTATACCTCAATAAATCTTATAATACAAACAAAAAACACCAGAATGCAGCTTTTAGGCTGTGATTCAGAAAAGACTATAATATTACCAGATAAAAACTGCCCTAAAAATGATCTTTCCTCTCAAGTATTTTAATTACATGATATTAAGCTTCTGATCTGAAAATAGCTGAAGCTATGATTTAAATTTTTTTTAGCTCGTTAACATAATTGCATTGTTTGAAATGAAAGTATAAGGATGACAGATCAAAGAGATGCTTCTGATCAAAAGCTCTTCTTACTTTTGTCCAGTGATGATGGACATCCATTGTTCCTAGCATCACATGGCCCACGGCACTCATACCAGAACGGTCTGTAAATATGATCGTGCAGCCTGAGGACAAAACACAAACCCTTTGGTCACAGTCCAAAGATGCTTCATTCTTTTAACACTGTGCAAATAATTACTTATATTTAGTATATAAACTCAGGATTAAATTCAGTAGAAGCTTAAAGGCTAATTTTATGTTGTTGCTTTATTCAAAGGAACAGATTTAAAAATTCAGCCACTTCGTTTTCCACTACAATTTACAGATGTGTACAGCAGCTAAGTGATATTTTAAGGAAGAAATGGGAAAAACTTTGAAAAAAATCTTTTTTCTCCTCCACATTGCATAATGATGGTGATTTGGCTTTAGATTTAAGTTTCAATTAGGGATTCTACTTAGGTTTATCAGATTCTTTTTATCTTATTGTATAGAAAGTGATTTTGATGAAATCATGTAATCTCATTTTATAAACTAATATTAAATCTCAGTGACAAAATGAAACCTGATATTGACATGATGTCATTGAGGCATTGCTGTGTAAATGTAAATAGTTGTGTTTTAGGTGGTATCAGGAAACCCACCTTTGAAATCTAACTCTGCCATTTACTAGCTCTGCGAACTTGAACAAGCTGCTTTTAGCCCTCCTAAGGTTTTCACTTTCATATATACAAAGTGAGGACACTTCCTGCTTCAGAGGTAGTATAAGTGAAATGAGATAACACATATAAAGGAGTTAGGCATTCAAAACAGACTTTCAAAAAAACCTAGGTTCCTCCTTTATCCTGACACTGATTCTGATGAATGTCATTTCTGATAAAATGAAAACATCTAAAAAAAACCCTTTTTTTTCTTTAAACCACAATTGAATAACTAAGATATAATTTATAATTTCAAAGAATTAACATTAATTTTTGATTTGAAATTAAAAACATTTTAAGTGATTAAGCTACTAAAGTGCTGTTTTTATTAATAAATGATCTTTTATATAGGATATTTAGAATTAAATACAATATCATCAGTCACAATGTTTCCATTTGCTAGAATCTTGGCTAGTTTTTGAGTATGTGAAGAAGCCCTTAGGTTGATGGTCCTGAAATGTTTTGATGTCAGAACCTCTTTACACTCTTAAAAACAGAGAACAGCAAAGAGCTGTTTATGTGGGTTATATCTATCGGTATTTACCATAGTATAAATTAAACCTGAGAAATTTCTCCACAATATTGTAAAATAATGTTTATTTCTTTTTATATTTAAGAAATCCTTTCATTTTCTTAATTCCAGCCTGCTTTGACAGATCTTTTAAAATTTATACTAAAAAAATTATTTTCATGCACATTAATTTGTTTATAAACTTCAAAAAATGATCTCACTATTTTTAGTTAAAAAAGTCTATGTTACTAGGCTATGGAATTGGAAGAACCCCCTATAAATCAAAGCTTGACCTAGAAACTACTGATGTGATGATAAAAGAGCCATAATAAGCTCAAATTCACGTATTTTGTATACTGGAAAGTCTAAAGGCTTTGCTTTGAAATTTAATGTACCTTAGAAAACGATGATTTGAATATACAGGAATAGAACATGTTAATATTATCTGTATTTTCTAAGCAAAGGAAAAAGGTGATATTATTTATTGTTTCCAATATTTGTCATTTGAGTCTATATAAGAAAAGAAGTCCTGATAATGAGGGTTGAAAATAACAAAACAGGCTACAGCAAAAAGTTTTAAGCATGAGACTGGGTGACAATTTTTCAGGGTTCTAGAAATGGGGATTCTTATAACCGAATCACCTGACCCCTCCTTTTCCCCTTGAAAATAACAAAACAGGCTACAGCAAAAAGTTTTAAGCATGAGACTGGGTGACAATTTTTGAGGGTTCTAGAAATGGGGATTCTTATAACCGAATCACCTGACCCCTCCTTTTCCCTTCACAGTTTTAAAACCTGTGAAATATATTTGCCTAATAAATTATAGAATGTTTTTATATAACTATGATTTATAAGTTTATGAAAACTTATTTAAAAACTTGTGTTATATAACATAGAACCAAGAATACAACATCCATTTCCTCTCTTCCCTCCTCTTTTTTAAACTCAATTACCAATCTTACATAATGGAGCATAATTATTTTTATATATGTAGATGAAATGAAAAAGGATCCTTTTATTTTTATAAACTTATAATGTAAAAAATGTTAAGCTATTATGCCAAAATGTCAGTACTTAAATCTTACTTCAATATTTAAAACAAGAAATTAACAGTTTTCCTTAGATAGACGAGAATCTGTTTATGTCCATAAAAAGATAATTGGAGAATATTTAGTTATTACAATAATTAAAAATGCAAATATTTAGCTACTGGAAAGCTTTACCAGTAGGTAATTCACGTTTATTTCAACCTGTAAATTAGGTTCCCTTTTCATTTACCTGATATCTGAGAGTTGTAACTGATGAGACAGTTCATCTTTTAAACGATCTAGTTCTTTTCTAAGCGGCAAACTATTCTTCAGCTTTTTCACAGCACTTCTTCCATTGTTATCTAACCATGACCTAGAAAGAAAAAACAGAGATACACAATTTGCCATACTAACTATAACACTTCTACTATTAAAAGGCCCAGGGTTCAATCCCTATACCGGCCAGCTGCCAAAAAAAAAAGATTCATACATTACCTTAAAGCAACCCCAACATTAAATTGAGTTTTCACTCAAACCTTTACTTCTACCAAGTCTATTCTCGTAGAGAAATACCTACTTCTAAAATAGGTTGTTTGGAGAACTACCAGCACCTATCAAATCATACCCTAGTTGTGACAACTTCCTCTGTATCTTAAAACAATTAAAATTTAATTACACCAAACCTGCCACTAGATTACTAGAGAGAAGATAATTTTAAAAAATTAAAGATACTTCAAAACCTCTTGCTTATGTTTAATACAATTTTCAGCAGACTGTACTAGATCTTCACTTCTGTCAGTCACATACATGTGAGCCTAGAACTAATAATTATTACAGAGCAAGTGAGCAAATAATGTCATAGTAGAGCAAATAAAGTTTAAAAGTCAGACTCAAAAGACACATCCAATGGGACTGGCCACAAGTAAGAGGCAATGCACCCTGATGAAGGAACCTGAAAAGATTACTCTGTGGATCCTAGCTAGGTAGACTCCAATTTCTCCCTTTATTTTAATCCTATATACTGGTACCCTGAGTTCTCAATGCTTAGTCCCTCATCTCTCTATCCAAAGCTCTCCAATGGTCATCCCTTACCAATCTAGTCTTTTTGCCATGAAGTTGACAAGAATACCTGCTCCTTCCAGGTGGGTCTCTCCACTGCCCTGGTGCTCATTTACACCTCCATCCCTTCCACCCAACCACATACCCAGTTTAAATCTCATCTCAACTGTATCAACTATATAATATGCAGAGCAGAAAGGTGTTCTCCAATTCCTTGTTTCTTAGAATGTTTACCTCAATAATCTTTTAAGAAAAAATAGATATCAAAAAATGCTTTACGGATTAGGAGGGGATAGCTTTTAGAAGAGAGCTGAAAGCAGCCTGTGTGGCCTTCCAGAGAGCAGCAGTGCTCCCCTGGAAATCACTCTTACTCAGTGCCATGATCATCATGGCATAAGGTGTGCTTGTAACTGCTCCCCAAGGGAGAAGTCTAGAAACATGAGAGACCTGAGTGGAGTCCTGTGAGGCTGAAGAACTGCTGCAGGGGTGAGCAGGATAGAATGACACGTGACTCTAGGCTGAGGGGAACATTTCAGAGTCCAAGACATAATGGTGGGATGGGCCCTCGGCACAACCATGCAAGAGAAAACTCCAGGGAAGTAGAACAATCTAAAGAGTGAACACAGATATGTCATACAGCTTCTCATCACCAAGACATCTGACATACTCCTGTGGGATATCTATCAGTAATGGTCACAAAATATAACAATGCTGCAGAAGAGCTCATATGTCCATCACAAAAATGCTTGCTAAAGCCTTCAATAAAAGAAAAAACGTTCCTTAATTGTCACCTTAAAGGTTTTAGAAAAAATAAATATAATAAAGGTTTTAGATACTGCAATCTAGAGCATTTAAAAAATTTTCAAGTTTACAATACTGGAACCATCAAGTCATTATGCATTTATCAAACATTAATCTTGAATGTCTGATACTGTGTTGTGCTGGGAATATAAGGAAAATAAAGTCCCTGTCATAAAGGAAGGCACATCTAATAAGTAATATAGAGATAAGTAATTAGAATAGAATATAAGAGCTACTGTGAGAACAGACAAGAAGTAATTAATTCCACTTGGCAGGTTTTGTAGACCAGGTGACATGTGATCTGGAACCTGAGATGCATTCCAATCTTTCCAGGCAAATAAGTGAGAAAAAAGGGCAGACCAATCATGCTGGTCCATAAGGATCTGTAAGATAGACCAATGTGCCCAGATCATATTATGCCAAGAGGGAGAGGAAGGCATGAAAAGAGATGGTATGCGTGTGCATGCGTGAAACCCTGAAGGGTCTTGCACATTGGGATGAGGCATTGGAACCTTATCCTCTAGGTAAAAGTGTTCAACATTTTTTGATTCACTAACTTTGCACAACAATTAATTATACTTCCTACACCCCCTTTAAGAATACTAGTAAAAATTCTGTCACTTTTGCATGGTGTGTGATAAATAAGTTAAAATATCTTAATTTACATCACTATTTTTAGATACTGCATTACAATTTTCCAACCCTTCCTCATTTAAGTAATGTATGTTATTTAATTTAAATCATGTAAGAGAAAACATGATTTATTGACAAATGATGACATACCACGTTTGGTTTGGGGACCAAATGTCTTAAAATATAGATTAAAATATAATCTTATGGGGCCGGCCCGTGGCTCACTTGGGAGTGTGTGGTGCTGATAACATCGAGGTTACAGGTTCGGATCCCTATATAGGGATGGCTGGTTTGCTCACTTGGGAGAGCGTGGTGCTGACACCACCAAGTCGAGGGTTAAGATCCCCTTACCACTCATCTTTAAAAAAACAAACAAACAAAAAACCTTATGATTATACACTCATGACATGATTTTTGGAATTCTTATACTTAGTATATAAAAATCAACTGGTCTAGTTTAACAATTTTGGTGTTTTGTTTCTAAACACTGAGATAAAAATGAAAGTCCTAAACATGGTTTTCAACATATTTAGATACAAAGATAAAGACATATGTTTCCTAGTTCTGGCCACTGAGAGGATTAGTAGCAATTGAGCACATGTAGCACTCAGATGTTGGTTTCTAAAAAACATTCCTCACTAGAAAGAACCAGAGATTCTTGGCAAAATGGCTGAATCAAACTTTGGGGCACAAACAGTCCAGATGAACTTGATGAACCAGAACATAAGAGAGTACTCAAGGAATGATGTGGACATAGGAGCCAGCTTGAAGAGATGATGAAATTAGAAAATTATTTGGCAGCCAGCAGAGTAACATGTGATTCAGGCAAGAATCATCAATGAATGTTACAGCCACAGCTAAAAATCAGACAAGTAAAAGTATTTTTACACAGTCCCAGGTATCTCCTCAAAAGAAACTAATTAAAGGGAAAAATAGTAACTTTACTGTGGAAGGAACTGGGAGACACTACGTTAATCAAATGATCCAAGTTCATACCCCTAGTTTTGAGATAAACAAACATCATGTGCCTCCTATATAATCCACTGAAAACAACACAACATCACTTTTGGGGCATTCCTGCCACAAGTGAATAGACTGACTTTAATTATGAGGAAACATAAGGTAAACTCAAATTGAGGACACTCTACAAAAACAACTGGTTTGTATTGATCAAGATAATGAAAGACAAGAAAATACTGAGGAACTGTTCCAGATTAAAGAGGACTAAAGAGATGTGACAACCGAATATGGCTCATGATCTGAGATGTCCCTTTCCTAACAAACTGCAGTGCTCAGAAAAAGAATGAAATTTGAATAAGGTCTAGGGACTAGCTAATGGCATTGCTATCAAATATTAATTCTGCAATTTTTATCCGAATATGGCTCATGATCTGAGATGTCCCTTTCCTAACAAACTGCAGTGCTCAGAAAAAGAGTGAAATTTGAATAAGGTCTAGGGACTAGCTAATGGCATTGCTATCAAATATTAATTCTGCAATTTTTATAGTCGTCCTATAGTTATATAAGAGAATGCCTTTGTATTTTAGAAAATACAACTTGAGTACTTAGGGGTAAAGAGACATGGGGCTGAAATTTACTCAAATGGTCAGGAAAAAAATGTGTTCATATAGAAAGAGAATGATAAAGCAAATGTAATAAAATAAAAGGTTAACATTTAGGAAATCTGGATGAAGGGTATATGGGACTTCTTTGTATTATTTCTGCAAATTTTCTGTGATCTGAATTATGTCAAAATAGAAATAAAAAACATAAAAAAGAAAGAGTGTAAGTTTCAGGTTACCTTTTGCAAGCATTTCTTTAGAGAAAACACAAAATAACTGTAGAAAATGTCTTGAATATGTGAAAAATCAAACTGGAAAAAAAAATCAACAAAAGAATGCTCTTTCTACTTTTGGTGCTTGATGTACAAACCATCATGTAAAACCCCATCACGTGTTTCAGAATTTTGATCAAATCAATGCAACTGAAATACCACGTCCTCACTCATAATTGGGAGCTAAAAAATAAAAAAATAAAAAAGAAAGAAAGATACAACAATCACAATAATATGTTGAACTTTCAAAATGAGAGAACAGAACTAAGATTACCAGAGGTGGGAAAGGGGCAGTGGGTGAAGGGGTAACGCATGAATTGGTAATGGGCCACAAAAAATATTACATTGTGTAATGATGAATATACTAATTATTCTGATATGAGCATCACATATTGCACACAGGTATTGATATTCAACGTGGTACCCCACAGATATGTACAGGCAATTATGTTTCAGTAACAAAATTTTTTAAAAAAGAAAGAAATATAATCTAAGGAATCCTCAGACTCCCAATCATATTATTACCAAAAGTGAGAATGATTCTATAGTTAAATTGTAAGTAAGTAGTCTGGCAGACATTCACACAACTCAAGTTCCTATTACTTTCAGAAATGGAGCCTAGATGTGGAATGTGAAAGATAATTTATTTTTTAACACAGTTGTTGGCATACTTAGAGCTCCTAAATTGTAGAATACAAATCAACCCATTGGGTAGGTTTTCTTTTAAAAATGAAAATACAAAATTATTTGTATGTATTATCTCACATAATCCTAAAAACCAAAAACCAAAAAAACCAATGTAACTAACAGGTTAGGTGAAGGTCATGAGACAAATTTTCAGAATTATTTTTTATGCTCATTAACCTTTTCATTATCAGCAGCCCCTATATGTCTTTTCTTTAAAACAAGTTTAGGAGCTGGCTGGTTAGCTCAGTTGTTTAGAGCACAGTGTTGTAACATTCAAGATCAAGGGTTTGCTGTACAGGACACACACACACACACACACAACACACACACACACACTTAAAAAAACAAAACAAAGTTTA